GCCAGGCAGTGTAGACAAGATTCTGCCCTCACAACCCATCATGCACAGTTGATGCTGCAGGGCGCGGGCAGAGGGTGTGACCGCCAAGGTGCTGCTGGGCTGCCTGGGCGATCTGCGGCGGGCTCTGGAGGCAGTGAGTGGCCCTGCGGGCAGGCGGGGCAGGAGATGGGGCGGAGTGGAGTGGGGCAGGGGGTGGAGTGGGGGCGGGGCCAGTTTTGGGGCACTCTGTCTCTAAAAGGTTTGCCATCACTGGCCTAGGACTGGGGCGACAGTGTGCGTTCCCACAGAGAGGGCTCTGAGTGCTGCCTCTGGCACCCATGCCATAGGTTTGCCACCACTGCATTAGACAATCTACTCTTCCCTGCAGAGCACCCAGATTCTCAGCCTATAGAATGGCATCATCTTATACAGACATTCATGCCCCAAACCAACATTGCTTGTAAACTGCCCAGAGTCACTGAGAGCGAGTGGGCAGCTGTATATAAATCTTCTAAATAAATAAATTCTTCTAACAGCACCAGAAACATTTTTATGCCTTCATCCACGGCCGCATTTCCTTTCCAATCACATATTCTTGTTTTCAGTTTACTGAGCCATTGACTAAATATTTTCATTCATGCTTATTTTCATTCATGCTTTGTTTCCAACATAAACTTTTGCTGCATGCAGCAGCCAAGTGTTAATCCCATATTCACATGAAACATCCCGCAATTCGAGCGTATGCATTTTATTCTGCATTTTATCTAAATCGGCATAAGCTCCTTTTCTCACGTTTCTTCTGCAGAGCAAAAACGTCCCGTTTTGCCTATTGTCCCTTCTGCGCCCTTCCAGTCGGAATTCTGCTAACGGCTTCCCACTCACGGGTGGCAAAGTAATCCCCTTGGAGCGCTTGTGCTCCCTGTTGCTATGCTTCTCTTTGTGAAGGGGAACAAATTGACATTCTTGTAATCATCAGGCACAGACGCAGTCCTTACACACACAAAATGAATGTGTCACACGCCGCCTCTCTGCAAGCAAACCGCATCCACATTTTAATATTTTTCCAGTTACACCAACTACACCTGCAGCCCCTTTCAGCTTTCTCGTGGAGTTTATACTTTTCTCACCGTCAGGAAAGTTTCTCCTTAGTTCTAGGTTGCTTCTCTCCTTGATCAGTTTCCATTTGTTGCTTCTTGTCCTGCTTTCAGGTGCTTTGGAGAATAGCTCGACCCCCCCCTTCTCCCTGATAGCCCCTCAAATATTGGAAGAGGCTATCATTGCGTATAGTCAAGGCCATGGTTTTCCCAGTTGCAATGTATGGATGTGAAAGTAGGGCCATAAGAAAGGCTGAGGGCCAAAGAATGGAGGCCTTTGAACTCTGGTGCTGGAGAAGACTCCTGCGAGTCCCCTGGACTGCAAGGCGATCCAACCGGTCGGTCCTAGAGGAGATCACCCCTGACTGCTCTTTAGAAGGCCAGATCCTGAAGTTGAAACTCAAGGACTTTGGCCACCTAATGAGAAGGAAGGACTCCCTGGAGAAGAGCCTGATGCTGGGAAAGATGGAGGGCAAGAGAAGAAGGGGACAATGACAGAGAAGGAGGGGGCTGGATGGAGTCCCTGAAGCTGGAGGCCTGAGCTTCAGTGGACTCCAGAAGATGGTAGAGGACAGGAAGGCCTGGAGGAACATTGTCCATGGGGTCGCGATGGGTCAGACACAACTTCACAACTAACAACAAATCATTGCCCCTCCTCCAGTCCTTCTTTTCACTAGACTAGACATACCCAACTCCTGCAACTGTTCTTCCTATGTTTTAGCCTCCAGCCCTCTGATCGTGGAAGATCAGCGGACTGAACTGAAGATCCACCTGTCCCCTCCTTGAATCCGGCTGGTGTGTCGGAAGGGGGGGGGGGCGCCGCGTTCCTCCTGATCCTTTGCCATCTCGGACTAACATGGCTCTCCTCTGGCGGTTTCCTTATCCTTGACTCGTTTGCTGAAGGAGGACTTCGTTTTCTCATAAAAGAATCAACCCGACTGTGCTTTTACACAAAAGGGCTGGGGAACCATGGCCCTTTCCTGACTTGTGTGGACTTCAACTCCCAGAACTCCGTGCTGGCTCAGGAATTCTGGGAGTTGAAGTCCACCAGTCATAAAAGGGAGCCATAGTTGGTTCCCCACCTCCGTTTTTAATTAATTAGTTCTTTTGCGGAGCTTTTGAAAGACGGAGGGCCCTTTTGTAAGAAGAGACTGGGCAGATGGCTGCCATTCTCCAGGTCTGCCCAGGGCCCGGCTGCGTCTTTCCGTCCACTCATCCAGGTCCCTGACCGAATAATTTTCACTCTGGATCTTATTCTTTGGAATCTCGTACGATTCCCAGCCACCCGTTTTTGTCTCTGATTCTTCCTTACCTCCCTTCCTTTCTTCTCCCATCACCCTGTGGATTCCTGCTCCTCCCGTACGGGAAGTCCTCAACTTACAACCACAATTGAGCTCAAAATTTCCCTTGTCAAGTGAGTTTTGCCCCATTTTACCGCTAAGTTGCTAAGTGAATCACTGCAGTTGTTAAATTAGTAAAACCCGGTTGTTAAGTGAACCTGGCTTCCCCTCCACTGACTTTGCTTGTCAGAAGGTCGCAAAAGGGGATCCCACGACCCCAGGACACTAAAATCGTCATAAATACGAGTCAGTTGCTGAGCGTCTGATGTTTGATCACGTGATCCTGGGAATGTGAGTGTGACTAGGGCCATCGGTCCCTTTTTTCAGGGCTGTTGTAACTTTGAATGGTCACTAAATGAACTTAAGCCGAGAACTACTTGTACAAGCAGTCCTTGATTTACAACCGATCGCTTAGCGACCAAAGTTACAGTGGATTCGAAGAAAGAGACCCAGATTCAGAGTTTGCTGGCTTCAGGTCAGCTGACATGCAGTTATGGCGGTTTGTAGACCACAATTTACTCTCTTCTTTCCTAGAAAATGGAGTTTATTTCTGGTTTCAGCAAAAAACACCCCTTGGGTCAATGGCTTCACTTAATGACGGTGATGGTTGGTTAGCGACCATGATGATTTGATAATAACTATTGCAAAAATGTAAAATTGGGTTGGCCACATGACGGTTAATGACCGGCACATTTTACAGCCATAATTCCTGACTCAATTACAGGCACTCTTCGATTTACAACAGTTCATTTAGTGACCGTTCCAAGTTACGACGGCACTGAAAAAAGTGACCTATGACTGTTTTTCATACTTACAATGTTTGCGGCATCCCCACGATCACGTGACCAAAATTCAGACGCTGGGCAACTGATTCAGACGCTTGACTCATAATTACGACGGTTGCAGTGTCATGTGATGACCTCTTGTGACCCTCTGGCCAGCCAAGTCAATGGGGGGGAAGCCAGATTCACTTAGTAACCGTGTTACCAATTTAACAACTGCAGTGATTCACTTAACAGCTGTGGCAGGAAAGGTCGTAAAATGGGGCAAAATTCACTTAACAAATGTCTTAATGACAGAAATTTTGGGCCTCGTGGATGTAATTCGAGGATTGCCTGTATAGCCCCAGGAGTCTGGGTGACTCCAGTTGGTCCCTTCTCCTCTGCTCCTGGAGCAGTTTCCCTCCTGCCTTGGTTTCCCAGAGGTGCCCCTTCCTTTGGTTGGCTAATTGGCCGCCTCGCCCTTCTTCACTCCCAAACGGCGAAGGGGCAGGGAACGGCGATGCCCACGGCTGGGCCTCGAGCCGGGCGGAGGCGTGGGTGAATCGGCCTTGCCCTGCCTCTCTGCCCACTGCAGCTCAGCCCGCAGAGCTTGCTCGGAGTTCGGATTCGTCGTTTTCTCCCTGTCGGTTGGCAAAAGAGCCCGTGAGCCAGTCTCTGCTTGCCCTCTTCCTCTGGTGCCTGTTATCTCCTGGCACTGCCATGCAACAGTCAGCTCCCCCACCCCACTTCTCCCCTCCCTCCAGAGAGCCTCCTCTGCCAAGTTGCATCCTCCGTAAGGCTGTTGCTTTGCTGATTCACACAACGCCGACACGCCCGTGCCAAAGGGGGCTGGGGGCGCCGTTTGGAGGACCCGGGCCCACTAGCCCTTCTGGCACCGTAGGTGGCAGTGCCAACACCCCTCTTGAAATGTGATTCAGCTCCTGCTGGTTGTGGCCCATCTGCCTTTCTCTCCCCTCGGCCCCCAATCCTCCCTGCTTCCCTCCGGACAGAGGGAGATGTCACGGGCACTCCTGGCAAGGCCCTGCCAGGCCTGGACGGGGCATCCTTTGTGGAAAATCCTCTGCCCCTGTCCGTTTCAGCCCTGGGATGATTCTCTCCATTCCCCACAGGGAGGAGTCCAGTCTGACCTCTGCTGACCCCCTCCACACGGGTTCCTTCTCCACGTTGCCAAAGCGATTGGCATTCCTCCGGGATGGCATCGTGGGAGTTTTCCTGGGCAGCCAGGAGCCATCTGGTTGGGTTAGGCAAGTTAGGGTTTACAGAGTTTACAGAGTCAGCCTCTTGCCCCCAACTGTCTGGGTCCTCAGTTTACCCACCTCGAAAGGATGGAAGGCTGAGCCAACCTTGAGCCAGTGAGAATCGAACTCCCGGCTGTGGGCAGAGTCAGCCTGCGATACTAGCCTGCAATACAAAGATCTCCTCCCCCCCCCCCCGAAATTTGGCCAGGCATTTGTGTGGTGGGCAGAGGCTGTGGCAATGGCTGCTGTCTCCAGAGAGCCTGGATGGCTTTATAATTTATCAGCATCCACAGCCGGGGAAAGGCGGGCCTGGCTCCCTGCACCTCTGGAGGGGGGGGCTTTGGGAGGCATCTGGCTAATTGGGTGGGGGCCATTGGCCTGGACAGCACAGCCCCCTTGGTTGTCCTTAGGGCTGAGTGTTGAAGCATAATGGCTAGGAGGGACCTCTGGCCATCTGCACCTGCTTCCCTCCTTGCCAAGGAATGGCACTCCGGATTAAGTGGGGAGGGAGGGAGGGAGCTGGCGTGTGGACTCAGTTTCCCCTTGCGCGGCTCTTCCCTCCTGCAGCCAGACGAGCCCCTCGCCGCGTGGCGCACCTGATCCCCCAGGAGATTCTCTCTGACCCGGAGCTCCAGGACGCCGTGGGACGCCTGCCGCACAACTACAACTTTGAGGTCTACAAAACAGTGTGGCGGGTCCGTCAGGCCCAAGCCAAGAGGGGTGAGTGCCTTGGCCATGGGAGGGGGGAGGGACACTCTGCCCCTTGGGGAAGGGAGACCCCCTAGACCAGGGGTAGGCCACCTCGGCTCTTTTATGACTCATGGACTTCAACTCCCAGAATTCCTGAGTCAGCATAGCTGACTCAGGAATTCTGGGAGTTGAAGTCCATGAGTCATAAAAGAGCCGAGGTGGCCTACCCCTGGTCTAGGGGAAAGTGGGTGCCCCCCCGTGGGGGTGGGGATGAGCCCCACGGAGCCACGTGCGGCGTGGCCGACTGCTGCCCCACGTGCCAAGGAGAGCTGGCTCCGAGCCCTTGCCCAAGCAACGGGCATCCTGCCAGCAAACGGCTTCTCCACTGAGGATGCCGCCTGGATCTCACGAGGCGGGTGGCAGGAGAGGCAGAGAGCTGCCCGTTGGCAGCAGGAGATGGTGGCACCGGGGGCTCCCTGCACCCGCCCCTGCTCGCCCAGCCGTGGGTGACTGGCAGGGCAGCAGCTTTGCCCTCTTCCTGATCTCTCAGCCGGCCAGAAAGGACCAGAGGCCGGAGCGGGCAGCCGGATTCGGGGCTGTGCCAGGGATGTGGGCATGCCTGGCAGAGCTTCTTTTGCCTGCCCGCTGTCTGGATCTTGCCTGGAGCAGAGTTGGGACCCCCCCCAGTGGCTCAGCTTCTGTCCCGTTGGGGTGGGTGGCAGGCTTGTGCCCGCTCAGCCTGGAGAGCTCTCCAGAATCGGGCCCCCCTTTGGCCTCCAAGAAGCCCTCCGTCCCTGAACTGCAGCCTCTCCCCACCCACCCCTGACCCGGTGCTCTCAGATGGGACTGCAGCACCCAAAATCCTCAGCCGGGACTGCAGCACCCAGGATCCCCAGCCAGGGAGACTTCCCGGATGCCCTTCATTCTCCGTGCAGGAGGAGCTCGGCTTCCAGAGCCCCATCTGGGCAGAGGTGGGCGGTGGGGGGCCTGGCAGCATGCTTGCAGTCACCCCAGGGGGGGTGGGGTGGAGCCCTGCTGGGAGAAAGGGAGCCCCAACTCCAGGGGGGGCTGGACGAGGGGGGGCTGCCCCCAGACCCTGAGGGGCCTCCTCTGCCTGCCTGCCTTTCAGTGGCGCTGCAGATGCCGGAGGGGCTCCTGATGTTCGCTTGCACCCTGGCCGACATCGTTGAGAGGTGAGCTGGGGAGGGGCTGGGGGAGACGCCTGGGTTGCATTGGGGGGGGAGGCTGGCATTCATGTGTTTCTGGGGGGGGCGTCCTCACCTCCAGCCTCCTGGCATGAGGGTTGCCATGCAGTCCTTCAGCTCTGCCTGCCCAGGGGCTGAATGTGAGTACGGGGCCCCCCTTGTGGGGGTGAGGGAGGTGGGGCTGACCCCAGGGCTGCTCGAATGCCCCCCCCATTCCCTTCCCCTCCCCCCGGGTTCCACCCCGCCTGCTCGGCTGCTCGGAAAGGCCTTTGGGACCCTTGCTGGATCCATGGAAGAGGGCGAATGGCTGATGGGGGAGGGGGCTTCCCCCCTTGCTTTCCTGAGGGGCTGCCTCCGGAGCCAGCTGCCCCCAGCGCTGCGGGTGCTTTGGGGAGCCCCCTGCCCAGCGAGGGGCCTCTTTCATGTCGTGGCTTCAAAGGGGCTGATTATCCGGATCCTTTTATTCGAAGAAGAAGCAGCAGCAGCAGCCTCAGCCGGGCTCCTCATCCCCCCCCTCCCTCCCTCCCTGGCTGTGAAGCTGCCCTTCTCTTTCCTTAAATCAGGGTGTCCAACCTGGGCCCCTTTAAGACCTGCGGACTTCAACTCCCAGAATTCCCCAGCCAGCCATGCTTAGAGAGCACCACGGGACCCCACAGTCCTCCTTCTCCTCCTCCTCCTCCAAAGCAGGATGAGTCACTGGGCTGAAGTGGGCTGGAAACCCAGTTCCCTGGGCCGCTGCGGGGCCGCCCACGGGACCCTCCGTGGGGAGTGGGGGGGGGAAGGCTGAGCCGCATGGGACGTGCATTCCGCCTTTCCTCCTGCAGGTTCACCGGGGCAGAGGCCGTGGTGATGGGCGACGTGACCTACGGGGCCTGCTGCGTGGACGACTTCACCGCACGGGCCTTGGGAGCGGACTTCCTGGTCCACTATGGCCACAGCTGCCTGAGTACGTATGTACGTGGCCCGTGGGGGCTGAGCTTCGTGGCTTCTCAAAAAGAGGGGAGTAGGGAAGCAGCGCCCCTTGCCCACAGCCTCTGGATAGATGCCAAGTCACCCCTACGTGGCTGTGGGCAGGGGGCTGCCCCTCTGAATGGAGAGCCAGGCCAGGGGCCCCCTCCCCTTCTGGGCTCTCCAGCTGGCCAATTGGGAAGAGAGGGAAATTCATTTATTTAGAAGATTTCTAACCAACGGGCAAAATGGGTGTTGGGGGGCCGAGAGGCACCCCCCAACGCCTGATCCCCGCTGAGGGAGCCAGGAAGGCTTCGGACTCCTATTGAACGGCTCCAGGGCCCCAGAAGCGCCCCAGTCCCAAGTGCCCCCTGCCCTTTGCAGCCCCCTGCCATTGCTCCCCAGCCTTGCCTCCGGGGGGGCTTCTGCCTGCCTGCCTGCCTGCCTGGCCCTAGCGATGGAAAGGGGGTCACCTGCCCCAGGTTGGAGGGCCGGTCCCTCCCAGCCCTTTTGCATGTCTGGCGCTTGGCTGGCTGGCTGCGGAGGGGAGGGGAGGGGAGGGGGGGCGGGAGCAGCAGCCCGCCCGGCTCCCTAGGCGGAGCAGTACTCCAGATTCGGTTGCCATGGAAACTGCTGCTGTCCCAGATGCTGCTAACTTTGAAGTCCACCCAGGATGGAACTGGCTCAAAATCACAGAGAATTGGGCGGTGGGGGGGGGGCTGTCAGTGTTGAAGGGGGCCAGGCTGTCTTATCAGCTCCTCCTCCTGCCCGGGCTGTCATCCCCCTGTGCTGAGTGGGGGGGGGAGCCATGCTGAATTGGGGAGGGGGTCAAGGGGCTGCCCCACCAGGTGTGCTCTGGTGGCCCCTCTCCCCTTTGCACCATCGTCCCCTGACGCAGAAGCCCCCCCCGTGCATGCGTGCATGCTGCCAGTTCAGCCTCCAGCTCACTGACTGCCGGGGGGGGGTGTCAGGTCGAGCGCCCTCCGGAAGCCCCGCATTACTGCCGAAACAGAGCCTCCTCCCTCCCCCCCGTGATAGGCCAGGGAGCTGCCACTCGCCCCCCTCACGCGTGACGTCCATCTCCAGGCAGGCGCTCTGCCGCACCAGCACTGCAGGGACGTTGCGTGGAGGGCCGCCTCCCGTGTCCAATGAGCCCGTTTGCAAAAACACACCCCCCCGAGACGGTTGGGCAGGGGATGAACAGAGCCCATGTTCCACTTCCGGTGGCATTTGCAGCCAGGGTGCCTTGCCCTCGGCTTCTGGATGATTTGGGCATCAAGGAAGCCAGGAGTCGGGGAGGGGGCTCCGGAGGGGGCTGCCTGGGAGGGGGCTGACCTTTGTCCTCAGGTGCAGAAAGCTGTACACCCCCTCAGGGTCCCTACCCCCAGCCTGGCCCTGAGGCACATCAGCCACCCAGCTCCGTGGCCCTCCTGGTATCTGGGTCAGCCCCCAGGGGTCCCATTCCAGGGAAAGTGGGGGAGGGGGAAGAGAGGGAGGGAGGGGCTTTTCTGCCGGCACCTGCCAAGGGCAGAGAATGGCAGCCCCTCCAGACCCCTCCATGGCCCTCCCTGGCTGCCTGCTGGGGGGAGGGGGACACGGTTCCCCCGGGTCCCTGCCTCTCGCTTTCCCCCCAGCCTGTGGGGCAGAAGCCTTTTTAGGACTTGCGCAGTTAGTCCTCAAGTTACGATCGCAATTGGGGCCAGGACTGTCGCTAAGTGAGGCAGAGGTTAAGCGAGTCTCACCCAATTTTACATTTTTTAATTTGTTTGAATTTCTGTATTCGCCCGTCTCCACATGCGGGCCCATCACAAAACACCTTGATGTCAACGGTGGTCAATGAATCACACGGTCGTTGAGCGGATCAGGCTTCCCCATTGGACGTTGTTTGTTGAGAGCTGGCTGGGGAGGTCGCAAATGGGGATCAGGTAAACGCTGCAATGGTCATAACTGTGAGGACTGGTCATAAAGGTCACTTATTCCAGTGCTGCTGTAAATTTGCAGGGTGATAAGTCAAGGCTGTCTGTAGCTCACAGTTCATTTGTTGGTTGGATTCACACAACATGCTAAGGCGGAGTTAAGAGCACAGTACAGGCAGTCCTCAATTTACAACATTCGTTTAGTGACCAGTTACAAGGCCTCTGAAAAAGGAGACCTGTGACCATTTTTCACTCTTGTGACCGTTGCAGCATCCCCGGGTCACGTGATCAAAATCCGGAGCCTGGGCCGCTGGTTTCACATGAGGGGGCAGTGGGATCCTGGGGAGGGGTGTCACTTGGTCCTCTTTTTTTTGCAACCTTCTGACAAACAAAGTCAGTGGATAAACCAGATTCACTTAACAACCGTGATATTAACTTAACAACTGAAGCGATTCACTTAATAACCGTGGCAAGAAAGGTTGTAAAACGGGGCAAAACTCGCCGAACTGACTTCTCACTTAGCAACAAAAGTTTTGGGCTCAGCTGTGGTCGTAGGCCGAGGACCCCCTTGCGGATGCATTTTTGTGACAAACTGGGTGCTGAAAGCAGGGTGGGCTTCCGTTGGCGGTGGGCCCACCGGCTCTCCGGCCCCATTTTATAATAATAATAATAATAATAATAATGATGATGATGATGATGATGATGATGATGTTGGAAGGGACCTTGGAGGTCATCTAGTCCAACCCCCTGCTCAGGCAGGAAACCCTACACCATTTCAGACAAATGGCTGTCCAGTCTCTTCTTAAAAATTAAAAAATGTTGGCGCATTCACCGCCCAGGGGCGCAGGGGGCGGGGGGCTGAGTCATTCGAGGGGGCACCAGCTGCCCTCCTCCCGGGTCAGAGGAGCAAAGGGAGAATTGGGCAGCCCCTCTCAAATCCGACCAGTGACTCACCCGGAGGCAACGAGGGGATTCGGCCTCCGCCTGGCCCTTTGGGTTGGGAGGGGGACGGAAAGAGATTATCTGGGCTCAGCCACTGAGACGCAAGGATCTGCTGGAGTCCCCCCCCCTTTTTTTTCTGAACTGCCTTCTTCAGTCTAATAATTAAAATGCATCCCATTTCCATTTTCTTCTCCGTCTTGCCTTTTGAAGGCCCCAGAGAGAGAGATTTTGGCATTTTGGATTCCCCTCTGCCTCCTCTGGAGCCCCCTTGGGCTTGGACCGCTGGCGATGGGGGGGCAGTTGGCAGACGCAGCCTTTGCTCCCTCCGGTGCGGGCAAGAACCACACAGACAATCAGGGGAGCAGAGACTAAACCGTAAGATGAACAGTCAGGGAACTAGGAGTGCCTGGTTTCATGAAAAGGAGGAGCGGGGGGGGCACTGGATAGCAGCCTTCCAGTATCTGGGGGGCTTCCCCAAAGAAGCGGAGGGGGTCCACCTCTTCTCCAAAGCCCCCTGAAGGCAGGAGAAGAAGCAACGGATGGAAACTCATCAATGAGAGAAGCAACCTAGAACTAAGGAGAAACTTCCTGACAGTTAGAACAATTAACCAGTGGAACAACCTGCCTCCAGAAGTTGTGGGTGCTCCATCATTTTGGGAGGTTTTCAAGAAGAGATTGGACAGCCATTTGTCTTGAATGGTATAGGGTCTCCTGCTTGAGCAGGGGGTTAGACTAGAAGACCTCTGAGGTCCCTTCCATGTCTGTTATTCTGTTAATCAGTGGAACGACTGGCCTCCAGAAATCGTGGGGGCTCCATCACTGGAGGCTTTTAAGAAGAGGCTGGACAGCCATTTGTCTGGGATGGTGTAGGGCAGGGGTGGGCAACCTTGGCTCTTTTATGACTGGTGGACTTCAACTCCCAGAATTCCTGAGCCAGCCATGCTGAGGGGAAAGGGAGAGGTTTCCAAGCTGAGCCATGCTGGCTCAGGAATTCTGGGAGTTGAAGTCCATGAGTCATGAAGGGGCCAAGGTTGCCTACCCCTGATACAGGGTCTCCTGCTTGAGCAGGGGGCTGGACTAGAGGACCTCCAAGGTCCCTTCCAATCCTATTACATAGGTAGTCTTTAACTTACAATAGTTTAATGACCATTCAAAGTTACAACGGCGCTGAAGAAAGTGACTTATTTTCCACACTTGCGACCGCTGCAGCGTCCCCAGGTGGTCATGTGATCAAAATTCAGAGGCTTGGCAACAGGCTCATAGTTATGACGGTTGCAGCGTCCTGGGGGTCGTGTGACCCCCTCTTCTGCGACTTCTGACAAAAGTCAGTGGGGGAGCCAGATTCACTTAACAGCCGTGTTACTTGCTTAACAACTGCAGTGATTCACTTAACAACGGTGGCAAGGTTGTAAAACGGGGCAGTACTCAACAAATGTCTCGCTTAGCAACAGAGCTTTTGGGCTCGGCTGTGTCGTAGGCCGAGGACAACCTGTAAACTTGTCCGCTGCTCCCACAGTTCCCATCGACCCCACGCAGGGCCTGAAGATGCTCTACGTGTTTGTGGACATCAAGATCGACACGGCCCACCTCGTCCAGACCCTCCGCTTCAACTTCCCCTCCGGGGCTCAGCTGGCCCTGGTCAGCACCATCCAGTTCGCCTCCGCGCTGCAGGTGGGTGGAAGGGAGCCTGCTGCCCTACCAGTCCTGGGGGGGAGGGGGGCTTTGCATGCAGGGGATGCCCCCTGCCTCTTGCAAGCAGGCCATCCAGGAGGTAGCATGGCCCCCTCCCTGCGCAGCTCTCCCAGGGGGGAAGGAAGGAAGGAGCAGCAGGAGCAGCTCTTTTGACCCCCCCCAACCTTGAAGTAATGGGGTGGGGGAGACGTTTTGAGGCCTCTCTCCCGTGGTTGTGGGTCTGCCTTTGCCTCCCACTGCGAACACAGGAAGGTCAGAAGGTCCCTGTTGTCCTCTGGCCCCGTTTTCGCTTTCTGGACAGGGGCAGCCTCCCTCCCACATGTGTGTGTGTGTGTGTGTGACACCCTCGGTGCTCTGGAGGACTGACAGGTGTCTGTGCACAACACGGTGTGAACATAAGAAGGTGCCAGCCACACATCAAGCCTTCTGGATCCTCAGTGGCCTTTGGGGAGCCTTAGGGATGCTGGCAAGAGCCCCCTTTCCCCCCCCCAAGGCTTGTCGCTGTCTAGGATTCAGGAATGAGCCGTCGGGGACCCTCAGAGGCCAAGCTCCCCACTGGGGGTCCCTCCCTCGAGACAACCACGAGGCTGCCGGGGAATCCCCCCGGTTGGCAATGCGCTGGGTTGAGCAACGGGGCTCCCAAATCTCTCTCTGGGTCCCCCACGTCACTCCACGCCCTCCTCCCTCCACAGGCCGCCTCCCGGGAACTCCAGCCTGACTACCGTGTCTGGACCCCCCAGTGCAAGCCCCTCTCCCCAGGAGAACTGCTGGGCTGCACGTCGCCCCGGCTGGCCCAGGAGACGGACGCCATCGTGTGAGTAGAATGGAAGAAAAACTTTATTGTCACTTTGAATGTACACTAACCAAACATGCGTTAAAATGGAATTTCGTTGCATGCAGCTCTCAGAGACCCCCTCTGGCTTTGCTGGTAGGCCGGCATCCAGGGTAGGGCACTCGAGAGACACCCCCCACCCCCCCAGTCTCCCCTTGGCACCGAACAAGCACGGGGTCTTTCATTAATAAGAAGGCACAAACATATGTGCCTTCGTTTCGAAAACATTCCCTTTCTCTCAAGCTTTTCCCACATTTGCATCAATAAGCAAAGGATCTTTAAATGTTCTCATTAAACTTCGTAGGTAATGACATTAAAAATAGTTCTCCCAGGGCACTTTCTCCTCATTTGTGCCTTTTGATGCTCTGTGTTTGAATAATGGGTTGTACTGCAAAATTGGGAAAACTGCACCAATGAAAGGGATAATTGTATCCCAGATTGCCTATTAGCACGGGAGCCTGAATTAAATTTCACCTCCATTCCAACTAAGAGGGTAGACCGCAGGGGTCTCCAGCCTTGGACTTCAACTCCCAGAATTCCTCAGCCAGCCATGCTTGTGGACTTTATGGCTGGCTGAGGAATTCTGGGAGTTGAAGTCCACCAGTCGTAAAGTTACTAAGTTTGGAGACCCTTGGGGTAGAGCACTCCCAGGGGTCGAGTGTCAAATTTGGCTAGAATATCCTCCAGAGGCTCAGCTGTAAACTATTAATTTTTAAAGCTCAGGCTTCTGGTCCTTATGAACAAAAGCTGGGAGCTTTTGGTGCAGTCCTTCTGAACTTCCACCCGAGGCTAGATGGACAGAGTGGCCGTGTCTCTGTCCGTCATTCAGCTGTGCCTTTCCCGGTGCCAGAATCCCAGGGTCAAGAGCCCAGCCCAGCCCAAGAAGACTTCTGAAGGAGCAGGAATGGGGTTTTATGGAAAGCTCGGTGGGGGTTCCCTGCTCTGGGCCCAGGCTTAGCCAGCCCAGGACCCATCTGAGTGGGTTTGGGAAGGTGGCTGGGCTGGCAAGCCGAAGTTGGAGTTTGAAAAAGGCAGATCATCCGAGGCAGGACAGGAACCAACCGATGGAAACTAATCAAGGAGAGAAGCAACCTGGAACTAAGGAGAAATTTCCTGACAGTTAGAACAATTAATTAGTGGAAGGGCTTCCCCCCAGAAGCTGTGGGTCTTTCATCACTCGGGGTTTTCAAGAAGAGGTTGAACAGCCATTGGTCTGAAATGGTATAGGGTTTTCTGCCTGAGCAGGGTGGGTGGGCTTTAAGACCACCAAGGTCCCTTCCAGCCCTAGGATTCTGGGAAGGAAGGAAGGAAGGAAGGAAGGAAGGAAGGAAGGAAGGAAAATGGAAACTAATCAAGGAGAGAAGCAACATGGAATTAAGGAGAAACTTCCTAACAGTGAGAACAATTAATCAGTGGAACAACTGGCCACCAGAAATCGTGGGTGCTTCATCACTGGAGGTTTTTAAGAAGAGACTGAACAGCCATTTGTCTGAGATGGTCTGGGATCTCCTGCTCGAGCAGGGGGCTGGACTAGAAGACCTCCAAGGTCTCTTCCCACTCTGCTATTCTGGGGTGGTGGGTTCTGACACCCGTGGGCCTCTCTGCCAGCCACGGGCTGTGCTCTCTGCGGGGCGACAGAGCGAATGGCCGGAGGCCAAAGGATGGATGGCCGGCTTGGATGCTGCAGCCGGCTCCTTTTCCTTAAGGACAGCAAATTAGCCAAGCCTGCAGGCCTCATTATCGGAGCAGGGGAAATGCTTAATGTGCTGTGAATGCCTCCGAAGGGCTGGAGGAGGTGCAGAGGAGTGTTGGGGGGGGGGGAGAGAGGAGAGACTGGCTGGGGAGGGGGAGCACCTGGTCAGGGAAGGTGGGGCCTCCTCTCTGCCAGCCCCTGACCTATGGACCACTCTGCCCCCCTCCGAAGTTCAGCAGCCCCCCCCCTTCAGCCTTGAAGGCCCGGCTTCCCCCCAAGAGGATAATCGCACATTGGAAGTTTGATTTCGCACCAGATTTTTGTTGGGTTTTTATGTTCATGTTTTAATCGGCTTATTTTTATAGTTTTAATATGATTTTATATGTCTTTTCATCTGTGATTGGGAGCCGGCCAGAGTTGATTGAAAGAAGGGCAGCTACAGGAAGGATTTTGATAAAATAAATAAGCCTTTACCTTCCTCTTCATTCAGTTGGTTGGCGTTGATGGGCTTTCTCCCTTCTTTCCTTCCTTCTTTCCTTCCTCTTTCTTTTTCTTTCTTTCCTTCCTTCCTCTCTTTTTTCTTTCCTTCCTTTTTTCCTTCCTTCCTTCCTTCCTTCCTTCCTTCCTCTTTCTTTCTTTTCCTTTCTTTCTTTCCTTCCTCCCTTCCTTCCTTCCTCCCTCCCTCTCCTTCCTTCCTTCCTCTTTCTTTTTCTTTCTTTCCTTCCTTCCTCTCTTTTTTCTTTCCTTCCTTTTTTCCTTCCTTCCTTCCTTCCTTCCTTCCTCTTTCTTTCTTTTCCTTCCTTCTTTCCTTCCTCCCTTCCTTCCTTCCTTCCTCCCTCTCCTTCCTTCCTTCCTCTTTCTTTTTCTTTCTTTCCTTCCTTCCTCTCTTTNGGGAGTACTGGGGGGGGGGGGAGAGAGGAGAGGTTGGCTGGGGGGGGGAGCACCTGGTCAGGGAAGGTGGGGCCTCCTCCCTGCCAGCCCCTGACCTATGGACCACTCTGCCCCCCTCCGAAGTTCAGCAGCCCCCCCCCCCTTCAGCCTTGAAGGCCCGGCTTCCCCCCAAGAGGATAATCGCACATTGGAAATTTGATTTCGCACCAGATTTTTGTTGGGTTTTTATGTTCATGTTTTAATCGGCTTATTTTTATAGTTTTAATATGATTTTATATGTCTTTTCATGTGATTGGGAGCTGGCCAGAGTTGATTGAAAGAAGGGCAGCTACAGGAAGGATTTTGATAAAATAAATAAGCCTTTACCTTCCTCTTCATTCAGTTGGTGGGCTTTCTCCCTTCTTTCCTTCCTTCCTTCCCTTCCTTCCTTCCTTCCTTCCTTTCTTCCTTCCTTCCTTCCTTCCTTCCTGCCATCCTTCCTTCCTTCCTTCCTTCCTTCCTTCCTTCCTTCCTGCCATCCTCCCTCTCCTTCCTTCCTTCCTTCCTTCCTCTTTCTTTCTTTTTCTTTCTTTCCTTCCTTCCTCTCTTTTTTCTTTCCTTCCTTTTTTCCTTCCTTCCTTCCTCTTTCTTTCTTTTCCTTTCTTTCTTTCCTTCCTTCCTTTCTTGCCTCCCCCTTCCTTCCTTTTATCTTCCTCTCCCCCTCCCTCCCTTCTTTCCTTTCTTCTTCCCTTCCTTCCTTCTTCCCTTCCTTCCTTCTTCCCTTCCTTCCTTCCTTCCTCCTTCCTTCCTTCCTTCCTTCCTTCCTTCCTTCCTTCCTTCCTTCCTTCCTTCCTTCCTTCCTTCCTTCCTTCCTTCCTCTCTCTCTCTCTCTCTCTCTCTCTCTCTCTCTCTCTCTCTCTCTCTCTTTCTTTCTTTCTTTCTTTCTTTCTTTCTTTCTTTCTTTCCCATCTCACAAGCAAGCATCTTTGGGCAGCATATAACAAACACAGTTAATAAATAGATTAAAAAGTATAAAAACCAAACTAAAAGAAATAATAGACTAAAAGATGTTAACAGTTGTGGAGCCACCTCCCTGGTCCACCTGGGACCCCCAGGCCTGCTGGCCTAACCAGGCCTTGAGGGACCCCTAGAGACTCAACAGAGACGACTCCAACCTCACCTCAAAGGGGAGAAGTCCCCAGGGGGTGGGGGCCAACCCAGAAAAGGTCCCTCTGGGCTGATAAAGGGACCCGTAGTCTGCCTTCTCTGCTGGATCTGGAGTTTATCCTCGCATCTGCAGGTCTCCTGCTCCTTCCTGGGACTCTGCATGGCTGAAGGGGGTGAGCCCACCAAGACCGGGCTGCTAAAGGCCCCCAGGGATGCTGGGGGGGGGGGGCAGGAGAGCTGCTGGAGCGGGAGGGCAGACCCTGCAGGTGGGAGACCTGCTGGGTGCTCAGCTCAGGTCAGAGCCACCTGCTCAGCCCCCCCCCCTCCTTCCCCCCCAGATGAAGCAAATGCAATTGAGCCACAGGCAGCTTTGTCTTCTTGCCCAAAGGTCCAGCCGGACTCCTGGCGATGGTCTCGGCAGCGGCTGAGTCAGTGTGCCAACTGGGATGGTTTCGCACATTCCCCAGGCCTGGAAACCCTGGGGGTGCTGCTTCCAGAGACCGGGGTGGGGGGCTGTCCACTGGAAGGAGGAGTGGGGTGCCAGGCTGGGCGCTGCCGTCTGCTCTGCCCCGGCTATCAGCCGCCTCAGGGCAGCTTTCCCCAAACGGCCAAATTGGCTTTGACCCTCCAGAATGTGGCTCTCCAGTTAAGGCCCAAACCTGGTCAGGTTCTCCGTCTGATCCGTTTTCCGACTTCGTTAGGGGGAACCAAATGAAGGAGCTGGCAGGGTAATGGCTGACTTGACGCATGACTTCAAATGGAGACCTGGACGCCTCCCGATTAGACGTGTCCCCCCCCCCAAACCCAGCACCAAACACCCCCATGCTCAGTCCCGCTGCTGCTGCTGCTTTTTGTGGTGCCGCAAAGCCCTCGGAGATGCCGATAGGTTCCTTTCTTTCTCTTGTCCCAGAGGGGGGCTTGGGACAGAGGCTGGTGAGGGTCATCTTGCTGCAAAAGCTGGGTGTTTGAGGTAGAGCAGGGGAGTCCAGCGGTGGCCCCCTGTGGACTTCCACTCCCAGAATCCCCCACCCGTTGAAAGCCGCAGGTCTTAAAGTGGCCAACATCCCTAGTGCAGAAAGAAAGAAAATACTTTTTTTGTGTGTGTCTGTTGGAATTGCCCTCTTCAGCAGCAGTGTGTGTGTGTGTGTGTGTGTGTGTGTGTCAGCTGCCCCAGAAATAAGTAGATAAACAGCTGCTTTGTCTTATTTTCCACTTTATGATTGCTTTTTTTGTTAAAGCAATGTGTTTGTTCCATGCAAATCCCCATTAACCAGGCAAAGGGAGGCCTCGTACGGTCATTTACCTGCCTGCGGATTGAGTTTGCGGACGCCTGCCTATCCCCCGCAAGGGAGGAGGAGGGTCGGAGTAAATTAGAGATCTATAAAAGCAAACAAAAGCTTGACCAGATCCTCAGGTAGAGCAGGGATCTTGTGCCCTACATGTTAAGCAGGAGTTCAGTCCGGTCTTGTGTAGCTGGATGGCAGAATTTGGCCGATCTGGGTGGTCTTGGGGAAGCTAAGCAGGGTCCGATCCAGAGTGTCCTTGGGCGGTGGATAGGGGATGAGGCCAAATTTGAGGAAGGGGCTTCAGTGGCCAGAAGTGAGCCCCAAAGAGCCTTGATCTGGGAGAAAATGTTGATGCCCAAGGACAGGGGTAGGCAACCTTGGCTCTTTTATGACTCGTGGACTTCAACTCCCAGAATTCCTGAGCCAGCATAGCTGGCTCAGGAATTCTGGGAGTTGAAGTCCACGAGTCATAAAAGAGCCAAGGTTGCCTACCCCTGCATAGCTGGCTCAGGAATTCTGGGAGTTGAAGTCCACGAGTCATAAAAGAGCCAAGGTTGCCTACCCCTGCCCAATGAGAACGTGACCCAGGAGCCTTCAGGAGTCTGGGTGCAAATATTGTAGTAGTACATTTTTAAAAAAGGATAAAGGTTTCCCCCTGTCTGCCTCCAGGGGGCGCTGTTCACCCCCTTTCTTAGCCGGGGGAGGGCCACAATTGTCCTGGGGCCTGAAGATGCTTCCGTGGTCTCACGTGGCCGGCATGACTGCATGCCAAGGCACGCAGAACGCGGTTGCCTTCCCACTGAAAGGGTGCCTATTTATCTACAGGGAGTCCTCGACTTACAACCACAGTTCAGCCCAAAATTTCTGTCGCTAAGCAAGATGGTTCTTAAGTGGGTTTTGCTCCAGTTTACGACCTTTCTTGTCAGAGTGAATCACCGCAGTTGTTCAGTTAGCAGACATGGGATATAAATGGAATTAATAATAATAATAATAATAATAATAATGGTTGTTAAGTGGATCTGGCTTCCTCATGGACTTTGCCGGTCAGAAGGTGGCAAAGGGGATGGCGTGACACCCCCCCCCCCAGGATGCTGCGACTGTCATAAATACGAGTCTGTTGCCAAGCGTCTGCAACGGTCATAAAATGTGGAAAACAGGTCACTTTTTTCAGTGCTGTTGTAACTTTGAACGGTCACTAAATGGAACTATTGTAAGTTGAGGACTGCTTGTATTTCCATTTGCATGCTTTCGAACTGCTGGGGTGGCCAAGGGTTCATAACCTGCCCCCCCCTTTTTGCAAGGCTCTCCCTGGTTCTTGGCCCCTACAAAGATTCCTCCCCACTCCACCCCCACCCCCCCATTTTGCTGACCTCCCCTCTCTGTTGCAGCTACCTGGGAGACGGGCGCTTCCACCTGGAGTCCATCATGATCGCCAACCCCGGCATTCCCGCCTACAGGTATCTTCACGGCCGGGAGAGGGTGGGGCCGGACAGCCGAGAGGGTTTCCCCTCGGAAGCCAGCCCACTCGGGGCCTGGACTGCCCTCTGGCGCACTCCCACCCCACGGGCAGAAGGGATGCCAGGCCACAGGCAGGCTGCGGCTAGAGGGCAACAGTGGGGGGGGATGGGGGGACACAGGGTTCTTCAGTGGGGTGAAGATGAGAGTTGAAAGGGAAGCCATATCTGCTTCCCCTGGGGGCCCAGAGCCCTCCCTGCCCCTTTTGTTTCCCGGCGGGGGGAGGCCCACTTGGGTGTGCATCTCTGGAACAGACCCAGATGCTTCTGCTGTGTGTGTGTGGGGGGGGGACACTGATGGACAGGGAGTGGGTCACCCGGGGATCTCAAACAGTGAATGAGGGTCTGTGTCTTGGGTCTCCCACAACAGGGTGGGCAGACACAGCCCTCCCCCCCCCCCAGCCTTTCTGACCAGAACTGCCACAGATGAGTGGGATGTTTTCCTGTCCTGGGGAGAAAGAAGTGGGGTCTTTCAAAAGAAGTAGCCCACGAAGGCACTAAAAGAGGCTTCATATGAAAACATGGAGCCTTATTTGGGGTCCTGGGGCCGGTTCTGGGGACCACGTCCCAAACAGGAGAGAGATGATGGCAGCCGATGCTCAGGGGGGTTGTCAGGATGGTGAACACGCTAGAACAGGAGTCTTCCAACTTGGCCCTTTTATGATTGGTGTGCCTGGCTGAGGAATTCTGGGAATTGAAGTCCACAAGTCATAAAAGGGCCAAGTTTGAAGACCCCTGCCCTAGAAGGATGAGGACTCAGCTACGTTTCGCCTGCAGAAAAAAGTCTGAGACAAGTCAGGTTGAGAGTCTTCACTCCTCAGAAGAGCTACTGCTCGGGGGGGGGGTTGTTCTCTGTGGCCCCTGAGAGCAGGAGCAGAACCAGGGGCCCAACCAAAGGCTCAGCACCAGGAGCAACTGATTTCCTGACTGGGCTGAAGGGGAGACTTCCTTCACTAGAGCAGGGGTCTCCAACCTTTCTCGGTTGGTGGACCGGAGGGAATGGGAGGGGGAAGCATTTTACATGCACGCACAGAGACACAAATGGGGCTGCAAGCACGCATGATGCAAATGGGGGGGGTGCTAGCACTCGCGTGACACTCACTAGCACTGTGGTGTCCTGCGTAGCGGCGGCAGCGCTAGCTGACCTGCCTGTTCCGTGTCCCAGTGGCCAGTAGACCAGAGCCCAGTAGTGGGCCGTGGCCCACAGTTTGGGGACCCCTGCACTAGAGGACTTCAGACGGACGCTGGATGGTCATCTGCCAGAGATTTCCTAGGACAGGGCATCCAGTTTTGGTCACCATATTTTTAAAAAGATGCTGAGACTCTAGAAAGAGTGCAGAGAAGAGCAACAAAGATGATTAGGGGACTGGAGGCTAAAACATACAAAGAACGGTTGCAGGATTTGGGGAGGTCTAGCTCAGGGGTAGGCAACCTGGGCTCTTTTATGACTGGTGGACTTCAACTCCCAGAATTCCTGAGCCAACATGGCTCAGCTTGGAAACCTCTCCCTTTCCCCTCAGAGTGGCTGGCTCAGGAATTCTGGGAGTTGAAGTCCACCAGTCATAAAAGGGCCAAGGTTGCCCACCCGTGGTCTAGTGAAAAGAAGGACTAGGGGTGACAGGATAGCAGTGGTCCAATATCTCAGGGGCTGCCCCAAAGAAGAGGGAGTCAAGCTATTCTCCAAAGCGCCCGAAGGCAGGACAAGAAGCAAAATAGATGGAAACTCATCAAGGAGAGAAGCAACCTAGAACTAAGGAGAAACTTCCTGACAGTGAGAACAATTAACCAGTGGAACACCTTACCTCCAGAAGTTGTGGGTGCTCCATCACTTCTGGAGGTTTTCAAGAAGAAATTGGACAGCCATCTGTCTGGAATGGTATGGGTTCCCCTGCTTGACCAGGGGGTTGGACTAGAAGACCTCCAAGGTCCCTTTCAACTCTTGTTACTCTTTGGCTGGACTTCAGCTCCCAGAATTCCACAGCCAAAAGGGGAATTTAGGACTTGGTCCATGCATCTGAAAGTTGCTGAGGTTGCGAATGCTGCTGGAGTGGATCACGCACTGACCCCAGTTCTCCGCTTATCCCGAGAACAGCCGAAAACCGCCCCCCCCCTTAGAACCCAGGGAGGGGAGTGACCCAGTTAGGGCCTGATGGGAGCAGGGGATGTGAGGCACTCTTGCTAGAGAGGGACGTTCCTAGCCCGAGGCCTTCGATGGGTCCGACTTTCTCAGCATCTTTTTTAGTGACTCGGGCAAAAAAAAAATTGGGGAACTGCTTATCAGTCTCGGGGCTGACGCAAAAAACCGAGATTGTATTATTTCGAAATAGTTAATTACATGCTGAATGTGGGTTACCAGTGTAATGTAACTGCAAAAAAAAAAAATGCGGTTTTTAAACTGCATTACCGCAAAAAGAGTTTCTGTCCAGCAGGGGCTTTAATTTGGTGACTCCAGTGGCACCGTCCAGCTCTGTGATTACAGGCAGGGGCTGTGTCCACCCTCTCCCGCCTTCCCGGCTTTTGTGGCTCGTGGCTCTAAAGCAGCGGTGTTCAATGTTGGCAGCCTGAAGACTTGTGGACTTCAACTCCCAGAATTCTTGCTGGCTGGGGAAAGCGTGGGAGTCGAAGTCCACAGGTCTTCAGGCTGCCAACGTTGAACACCCCTGGTCCAGCTGGCTGGGGAATTCTGGGAGTTAAAAATCCAAGGTCTTAAAGTGGCCATGCTTGGACACCCCTGGTTCAGCTGGCTGGGGAATTCTTGGAGTTGAAGTCCACCAGTCTTAAAGTGGCCAACCTTGGACACACACATCCCGCTCGAAAGCTAAGCAGGATCTGGTTTGTTACTCCTGGCATGGGGGAGTCCTAGGAATTCAGAAGGCCTCTGTAAGAAGGCCGTTGCCAACCCTTCCTGTGTGGCTTCAGGGAAGACGCCACGGAGATTCTTGAAGGGTCTGGGCAAGGAGTTGTGGTCTGCCTTGGTTGGGCCAGTGTGGCCCGGGGCCAGCCTGGGCACCACCTCAAAGACGGGTTCAGTTAGGAACCGGTTCAGGAAAGAGCCGTGAGGATGATCCAGGAAGCAGAAGCGGCTCTGAGGGGGCTTGGAGGGCCCCTGGGAGACGGAGGGCCTTGTGAATGCAGGGCCCGAGATAAAAATGGAAGGCACTGGAAGGGCAGGAATCCTAACTGGCCAAGAACCAGCGCCTGGAGGCTTCCAGCCAGGGTTAGCTGCCCTGAGAGGAAGGGCGAGCCACTCCGCTTCCACGGTGACTTTGCTGGTCAGGAGGTGGCAAAAGGGGATCACACGACCCCTGCGACCGTCGTAAATGTGAGTCAGTGGCCAAGTGTCTGGATTTTGATCACGTGACCCTGGGAATACGACAACGGTCATAAGTGTGAAAATCGGTCATAAGTCACTTTTTTCAGTGCCGTCTTTACGAGAACTGTTGTACTCGCACTCCTGACCTTGGGCCAGGCCTTGGGGAATCCAGGGCTTGGCTGCTGCCCACTCAGGGCCCCCTCCTTGCGCTCCTCCCTCAGGTACGATCCGTACAGCAAGGCCTTCTACCAGGAGCTCTACGCCCACGAGCGCATGCAGGAGTCGCGGAAGGCGGCCATCCGCCGGGCGGCCCGTGCCCACAAGTGGGGCCTCATCCTGGGCACCCTGGGCCGGCAGGGGTCTCCGGCCATCCTGCAGGTGAGTCCTCTGGCCAGGCCTGGCAGCACCTGGAGCTGCTGGACCGGGCAGGGCTGTGCCTGGCGGACGCGAGGCCCTCGGATTGGCTGCAGCCTGTGCCCGCTGCTCCCTGGGCTCCTTCTTCCCCTTCGGCCTTCCCTGCTTCAGAAGGGGGGGGGCTGGGTGGGGAGGCAGCCCGATTTGGGGTCCCGTCCTGGAAGACCCCCGGGAGGCCACCAGGGCAGGCTCTGAGGAGACCCTGGCGAGGAAGGTGATCTGGGCAGGTCCCCCCAGAGCGAGGGCAAGGAGCTCCCCCCTCCCCTGATCTCCCCACTTCGTTTGGGGAAAGCCTTCGTGGGAATCTCCCCTTCTGGCAAGCGGCCCCCACTGCGAAGCTCCCTGCCCAAGGAGGCGGCAGCGAGGGTCCCCAGAGTCAGCCCCCTCTCCTTTTTTGCAGCACCTGGAGTCGAGCCTGCAGGCGGCAGGGCGTCCCTACGTCCGGCTTCTCCTCTCAGAAATCTTCCCCAGCAAACTGCAGCTGTTTCCAGATGTTGAGGCGTGAGTACTGGAAGACCCTCTTCATATTTGTTTGCCCTCTGGCTACACTGGGGGGGGGGCGGTCAGGAGGGCTGGAGAATCCCAGGCTATTGGGGGGTGTCTTTATTTTCTTAAATACACTGAGATTGTTGTATGTATTGCTGTGGTGCCACCCAGTTCCATCGGGAGGGGGGGGAACTGGACCAAGTCTATCCTGCATCCCACCCACCCACCCCCATTTTCTTTCTCCACACAGCTGGGTGCAGGTAGCATGCCCCCGCCTCTCCATAGACTGGGGGGAGGCCTTTGAAAAGCCTCTGCTGACACCTTATGAGGTAAGGGGGGGTCACGGTGGCTGGGAGACAGGGAGGGCTGGGAAGGAACCGGAAAGGGTTCAAGGCAGCCTGGGACCACCCCCCCAAGGACTCGATATTAATGGCCAGGTGCAGTCTATGTAGAGAGGGGGATGCACCACCAGCCTCTTCTGGCCCCCCAGGTGGGGAAGGCTNCACGCACCGATCCTCTCCGTAGGGCTATTTGGGAAGGCCTGTCTAGCATGCCTCTGTCCCTGGGTGCTGCTGATGCTTTTTAGTGTCTCCTCCAGAAGACTCTTAGGCGCGTTTCGAAAGAGTTTGTTCGGAAGAGAAGCGGATTGTTGTCTAGGAACAGCTCCAGCAATATGCCAGCCTGTTACTGGCATTGACTGGCAGCTGTTTTCTCCCCTGAGGCTGGGGTGGGAGAGGAAACGCAGCGGGGTGGGTGGGGGGGAAATCTGCCTGGCTCTATTGTGGAATTGCCTCACCTTCCAGCTGTCCAGGCAGGCGAGCTTTAAGCAATTGAGTTGACAACCCACTAGATCAGTGTTTCTCAACCTTGACAATTTTAAGGCATGTGGACTTCAACTCCCAGAATTCCACAGCCAGCATTGCTGGCTGTGGAATTCTGGTAGTTGAAGTCCACATGCCTTAAAATTGTCAAGGTTGAGAAACACTGCACTAGATTCTTCTCCCGATTCAGAATCCGCCCGGGTTATTCTGCCCCAAATGCAGATCAGAAGAGGCCTCTTCATTTGCTCAGGGCAGCTTACCTGTGCCCCTCCCTGGAGGACTTTGCTTAAGGCTGCCTTTGAGAGGGGGCTCCTTGCCTGGAGCATGGGCTGGCATGCCCAGCAGAGAAGGCCTTGCGTTGATCCGGGCCTGAGTGATGGCCACAGCTGTTCTACCAAGAATGGAAGGAAAGAAAGAGCAAAGACATTGGAGCAGGGATAGGCGACCTTGGCTCTTTTATGACTTGTGGACTTCAACTCCCAGAATTCCTGAGCCAGCCATGCTGAGGGGAACTATGGCTGCCTTCATGACTTGGGGACTTCAACTCCCAGAATTCCTGAGCCAGCCATGCTGAGGAGAAAGAGAGGTTTCCAAGCTGAGCTATACTGGCTCAGGAATTCTGGGAGTTGAAGTCCACCAGTCATCAAGGGGCCAAAGTTCCCCCATGCTGGCTCAGGAATTCTGGAAGATGAAGTCCACCAGTCATAAAAGAGCCAAGGTTGCCTACCCCTGCATTGGGGCATGCTGTCTGGGGCTGTGGGTTTGGCCAGTGGGGATGGGGGGGGGCAGGAGGCTTTCCCTGGTGATCTCTGCGTTGTGCGCCATGCCCCTTGGCAGTGGCTACCTGACGAGTGGGCAGCAGATCTGAGCCACTGGCCAAAGGGTGACTGGTGATGGCTTGTTTGGAGAGCACCACTGGACTGGCCGGACGCGCAGAGAGGGTGCAAAATTTCTGGCCCAGATTGATCAGTCACTGCTTGGGCTGCCGCTGGCAGAAGCTCTTGTGAATCCCCCTCTGGTGATGAAGTGACGGCACTAATCCATCCATCCTCTTGCGGTTTCCTGCTTTCCAGGTGAAGCTGGCCAAATCCGTCCTCCCGTCTGCTGGGAAAGAAGCCCTGAAGAGCTGCTCCTGCCAACAGGAGGAGGAGGAGGAGAAGGCGTCATCAAACCTTGGAGTGGAGTCAGGAACTCAGGCGGGTCCCAGGCCCTGTGTGGAACAGCAGCAGCAGCAACAGGGGCCGAACTCTGGAGCACGGACACTTTGGGGTGATTCCCCCGTCCCTCCCCACGCTCCAGTGGGAAAAAGCAACTCCAGTGCTTGATCCAGATAGGAGGGTGCTGCGTTCTGCTGCCAGCTCTTTGGGAAGCCAGCTTTTTGCCTCCAGGTCCACTTGCAACCACTGGGGTTCGGCAGCTGGAGAAGCAGAAGAGCTATTGGATTGAAGGAAATGAGGGGGGCTTGCCAAAGACACAGGAACTGAATATTTGGACTAATAACACCAATGACTAAGTACAGACAGCTGCAGCTGTGGGGAGAGGAGGGCCTGGTGGCAGTGAGCAAAAGAGGGCAGGTGTGTGTGAGGGGGAGAGGGGGTCCCAGCAATCCGATGGTGCAGGAAGCTCCTTGTCTCCATCCGTGCCGGTTGATACCAAAGGCAGCCTTGGGTCAAAGGCTCCTGTCTTTCGCTCTGAAGGTTGACAATGCAGTGGTTAAAGTGCCGTACTGCAGGCTGAGTCTGCCCACTGCCAGGAGTTTGATCCTGACCCGCTCAAGGTTGACTCAGCCTTCCGTCCTTCCCAGGTCGGTGAAATGAGGACCCAGATTGTTGGGGGCAAGATGCAAATAATGCTGACATTGTAAAACCGGAGAGAGTGCTGTAAAGCATTATGGGGCAGTATACAAGCCAGAATGCTATTGCTATTATTGACATGCCTGAATAAGACTTTTCATCGTTACTATCAGAACAAAACTCTGGTGATGCATTGTTAGGGACTTAAAAAGTAACTTGGGAATGATAACCTGGAAATCTCTTGGTTTTTGTCCTCTGGCTTCAGCAGGGAAAGAAATCTGAGCCGGGAGCAGATGCTGTTTGCCAAGAGTGCTTTCTGGAGCAAAAAACATACTTTTTAAAGCAAAAGCCGAGGGATGTTGCCCTCCACTTGATGGCAATTTGCTTTCTCCAGAAGACACTCCTTTGGCAATCCAGGGTGTGTTTTGGACACAATAGACTGGCGGACTGCTTGGTTAATATTGACCTGTGTGTGTTATCCCATCCTTGTGCCTCTTTGTGTCCAGACACACGTTATCTTTTTCTAATTAACTAGATTGGGGCGGGAGTTTTGGGTTGTGGGAGAAGCCTTCAGTTTGACCCCAACATGCCCGGGTTAACCCAACTCCAGCTTAGGTGTAGAGATTATAGTTAAGGAGTTCCCCTCCAGGCAGCTGAATGTCTGTGGAGATTCTCAGATTGGAGCCGGCAAGCCAGTTTTGAAAAGTCTCAAGCCAAGTAAGTTGCGGAGACTGGTCCAGGAATCAACAAAGGCACCAAAAATGAACAACCACAACAAAACCAACTCCACCCCACCCGGTGACAGTGCCGGGACAGCAAACTGCAGCCATTCCTCCCTTGTCCGAGGAAGAGCGGGTGGGGGGGGGGAGAGAAGGGAGGCCTCCCCTTAGAGAACTGGGACGGCTTCCTTGGCGGCCTGGTGGTATAGTTTCTCTCCCCCCATAATGGTTGATTGCAGTGGGGGAGGGAGGCCCAGGGGGCATCACTGCGTGGCCGGACCCTCGCTGGGGACTCCGGCTGCGTTAAGGGGGCTTTGCAAAGGGCAACCGGCGGGCCCGGACGGGGGGGGGGCGATTGCTGGTCTCTTTCCTCTCTCCGCGCAGAAGGGGCCGGGGGGGGCGCTTCGCGGGAAGGGCAGCAAAACGAGGGTCTTTTGCAAAGCCGGGGGGGGGAATCGGCGGCGCGCCTCGGAGCCGGGACTGGCTGCCGCCCCCCCTCCAGCATCGCCCCCTGGGGCCTTTCGTGGGGTCGTGGCCGAAGGTGCGCGCATGCCAGAGGGGGAGAGGCGTTCGCGAGCAGCACAGGGTCCTTCCAAACGACGACTTCCAAGTCCATCATCCTCAGCCGCCCTGCATGTCCGGGAAGGATGGAGCAGCAGTACGGGACCGGGGGCGCCAGGTTGCAGAAGCCTCATGCGGCAGAGCGCATGCGTACCCACCGCCTTTCTTTTCCCCCCCTCTCCCGCGGACGTCCCACCAGAGGAGAGACTGGGATTGGCCGCCAGTCTCCTCGCGCGGTTGCCGGGGAGACGCTCCTGCCCTCCGATTGGTGCGGCATGGCTCCATGGGACTTCCGTCGCGGGACCCGGAAGGAGATGGCGGCGGCGCCGCGCGGCGGGGAGCTGCGGCTGCTCTGTCTCCACGGCTACGGGCAGAGCGCCCGGCGGTTCCGCGCCCGGACCGGCGCGCTGCGGAAGGCCCTGCGGGGACGCGCCGAGCTGCTCTACCTGGACGCGCCGCACCGCCTGCCGGCCCAGCCGGGGGAGCCGGGGGAGGGGGAGGAGGCGGAGGCCCCGCGCGGGTGGTGGCTGGAGTCCGGGCCGGGGCCGGCGCCCGAGGCGGAACCGGAGGCGGCGCTGCGGGCGGTGGCGGCGGCGCTGGCGGAGCTGGG